AGTTGCTCCCCCGGCTCGCATCGAATGTCCAGCAATAGTTGGCGGGAAGAAACGCCGAAGATATCGCATGAACCATGTGCGTGTAGGAATGGTGCCGTTCGCAGTCAACCAGAGGTGGGGATGGTGTTGAAAGCGAGTGTCACGAGCATGGACATACCGTTGTAAAACATCTAGAGGGTTCACTCTAGACTCCGCCTCAGCTAACACTAAAATCTCGCATCCTACTCCCAAAGTATTTGTTTTGTGGTGAGGTAGAGTGTACCTTGCTGAGGTTGGGGACGATACGAGAGAGTGTCGCAGCGCCATTTTACGAAAGGATTGATGTTTCTTTGCATTCGGCCAGCAGAGCTCTGCTAACCGCTGCAAGGTTTTGAAACCTGTCACCAGCAAGGCAACGAATAAGATGTCGTTGAAGTCCGTCGATGAAGCGAACGTGTCCACCACAACAGCAAGATCATCCAGAGTCAGTGGTTCTTTACGTCGAACAGGCTTAGATAAGCGACGTTTACAACCTTTAAGAGTGCGAGTAACGAGCAAGGACGTGCGCACGTCACGAACTTGCGGAAAGTGTGTTTGAAGTCGATTCACGATACCCGAAAGATACGAGTCCACGGATCGTGGCTCAATATGATGTGATAACCACACCACGAAGAAGGACAGAGTGTCCGCGGTAGGTTCAACGTCCCTGTTATGAAGTCGACAAGAGTTCAGATATGAGTTTAGGTGTGAGTCGTAAGCTGAAGCTGTAGTGGTCTCGATAGCGCAACCAAGGGCCAAGGAACGCTCTAATTGTAGGCGTTCGAGAGTCCAAGCTTCCCGTACGGGTTGCTTGGACCGAGTGGTACTTGGGATCATTTTTCTTTCACCCCCAGCGCATCCCGAGGGGGTTCGAAGTCGAATATCTGTGCTGATGGCACCAGATCTTTCACGAGTTCATTGTGAAATCGTGACAACGCGTCAGCGATGACGTTTTGTTGCCCCGGAATATGTTCCACTCGAAGGTCAACGTTATAGGTGATTAAGATATCCACAGCCGAAAGTAACAGTGAGTTATAGATAGGTCTTGCTCGAAGTGAGTCGAACATTGACACAGTGTTGGTGTTGTCGGTGTAAATGAGTAATTTTGCGGGAGTGTCGTCCATATTTGTGACCGTGTGAATAGCGGAACAAACGGCCAAAGCCTCGAAGAAGAAAATGGTGTCGTGAGGAGCATCTCCAGGTAAGGGTGATTGGCATGCGAAGTTTTCGTCTGGAAACCAGAGTCCTAATCCTGCGGCTGACGCGTCAGTGTAGACAACTACAACGTCATCTCTTGACGCGTCGAAGTCTAAACACCGGAATAGGTGTAGGCCATCCAAACGTTCAACATGGTCCGCGAGCCAATGTAACTCGTGTAGCAGTGCATTGTTGACGTGAATTTGAGCGAGGGCGTTAGTCTTTCCTCGAATTTTGTCGTAGAGCACCGACAAACCGGGCTTCAATAAAGGGAAGACATTGAAGCTCCATTCACACCAGCCAGCCAGACGCTGGAATTCATGAAGCGACCAACGGTGATTCTTTCGTGCGAAACGACGTAGCTCTGTAACCAACTCAGCCTTCTTATGAACGGGTAAAGTAACTTGCATAGCATTTGGGTCGACTTCAAATCCGATCACTGTCAATGGTGCGCCAAAAACTTGTTTGGGTCGTTCATGCGGTAGTTGAAGGTCATCCCAGAGTTGTAAAAGCCGAGTCTGTTTCGCGGGAAAGTAGCAGTCATATGGGGGATAATAGAGAACATGTCCTGCGACCTCGAAAGAGAAGGAGTCGTCCATGTAGGTCTTTAGAGCATCAATTAGAGCCCGGTGAATAGCAATCCACGCGACAAGTGACATAAAGGATATCCAGATCTTAGGAGAACCGCGACCACCGAAGTTATTGTTACGGTCAACATGACGTTGACCATGCACAGTCAAAATTTGTTTGACTTGCCATAGAGGGTGCATTGGTAACCGACGGAAGGCTTGTGAAACGTCAGATTTGAACATGATTAACTCAACGTTTGGATGCAGTTCTCGAAATCGGAGCAATGAGGCCCCCAGTGAATGTAGACCATCGAGCTTAGTACCCTTGATAGTGTCTCGATCAATCATAGAGTTCAAGGAGTACTCGCCCGCAGTGTGGTCCACAACTAACCGAAGTTTGTCGGTATTGGGTTTGGGAACAGTGTGCATTGGGACACTATACATCCCTGGATAAAGCTCTGTTCCGAAACTTTCAGACACCCGGCCCAAGCGGATTTCTTCCCGCATCTGGTCCTCAATGAATTGAAGTTGTATGTCGGTTTTGGAACACGTATGCGAAGAGTTGTCATTAATGGAGGGGTACGAATTATCAGAAGTGTCAGCCCAAGGCCAGAAGCCTTCGCGCAATGCGTAACAGACAGATTTAACAAAAGGCTGATTCGGATGATCTGTAAGGAGTTCCTCGAAACGGTTAACATTGATGGGCGTGACGATGCGAAACAGGTCCGGCCTTCGAGCAATGGTCTGAGCTGCATCACTGTTTTGGAGTTCATGTGAAGGTGGTTTTGGAACAGGTTCTGAATATTCAGTAGAACGCGCTGTGGGACTAAACAAAAGATCCATTGGAGACCAAATAAGGCCCCGTCTATGTCGCGGGCGCTTAATTGGACGTTCAGGTAGGTTTGGACTTAGACTCCTCGAAATGTCTCGCTTCCGTGTGACGTCGTGCACACAATCTCCCATCTTGCTCGTGTGAACAGACGTGCGCGTAACGGCAGGTTTGAGCGCTGCGAGAGCATTCTCCTGAGTTCCATTTACGACAGGGCTCTCGCCGATTAAAGGAGGTCTTGTCTCGTGCCGAAGCACCGAGTTTTGACTGCTTGTCCTCGTCGTGATGCCTGCCGTCTGATAAGAAGTGGGACTCATATATGTCTGCAAAGGCCGAGAAGTCAGAGAGTTCAACTCTTCGAGAGTTTGCGGCCCTGTTCCTAATGGCTTTATCGAATCTAATGATTCTCTCATGCGCTCGCTCGACACTGCGGTCAAATTTGTCGTTAATGTATTCTCCATAGGCGGCGAGCTCATCCTCTCGATGAGGGAACGCGAACTTAATGGCCCTTGAGGTTCTATTCCACGCTGCGGACCATTGTGCAGAGGTAGTGATCTTCTTCGAAACTGCCTCTGTAGCGGTGGCGAACTTGATCTCAATGTCCCCAATGGTTTCGGTACATTTGTCAATGGTGCGCGAGGAGGAGATAATAGAGTGTACGGCGTCAAGATTAATGCATTTTCCTGCGACAATTTCTGCCCATCCAGCTTCATGGAATTCCGGGCAGCAGCGATGGTACATGAGTCTTCGCCGAACCTCTTTAGGGTCTTGCGACCAGTTGAGTAGGATTTCGTTGGTGCGTGTGAGATTGGCTGAAAGCTGCCCTCCTTTGAATGATTGCTCGGCTCGTCCGAGACAAGAGAGGTCAAGTTTGGACCGTTTTTTAATGGGTTCACCTTCGTCAGCACTGGACTCTCTCTCATGCCCATCCTCTCTAGGAGGGACAAAGTCCCTTTCTTCGGATTGTCGTGCAGGGTCATGTTCCCGAAACACTCTGGTCCTTTCAAGGTCATTGGACCATTGTTCAAGCATGTCGAAGTACGGACCCGCGATAAAAGATTCGGCTTGGTCCGTAACTTCGTTAGAGGTGGCTGCGACAACCTTTGAAATAGTGATAAACGCTTCTTGCTTTGAGATAAGTGATTGTTTGAAGTCTTCAACGATGTTGAGGCACTTCTCAACCAAGTCTTGTTGCGGAACAGTCGCCCTTCCAGAGTTGGTTTGAGACGAAGTCCCCGCTTGTCCGGGTCCTGTAAGTGATGCTTGGGTGTTGGATGAAACATTTTGAGTGTTAGACATGGAGGTACGACCGAATTCGAAGTTTAGAACAAGAATTCAAGTAACTAGCTTAAAATTGTGGCGCAGAACGTGCGCAAGCAGAACGTGCTCAACGCTGATGACGGTTGAGACAAAAGGACTGAAGTCCGAAGTCTGCGTCACCAGCGTTTAGGAGACTCAGTCACAACCATATGTCACAATCAGTGACAGGTATGTGCGCAGAGCTGAGACTCGGCCAGAGCCGAGTGCGAGCGTTGATTCAATTCGTTTAAACCTATTAAAACCCAATACATTTGATATCACCATCCGGATTCCGGAATGTTGGAATTATTCACCGTCCGGTCTCGATCACCACTTGCGTCTCTGTGCTTACTAAATGGCTAATTACCGTCAAGCACACTTTGGACAGCTTGATACCAGAGCGTCGTTTTAGGGCCTAGGCATTATCTTTCAGGCAGTTGGATCCTTGTGGACAACCTAGTATTTGGTAGGTTTCTGCCAAGCTATCAACCTATATTTGACTCGTCCAAAATCTAGGGCAAATATTTAGACGGAACTGATCGGCATGATGCACGGTCCCGTTGCCAAACATATAGTAAGATTTTCAAGTCCTGCGAAATGCATAGCCTATCGAGCGCGCAGGCTAGCTGTCGATCACATTCTGGTTAGGTCGTTCATCGTATCATCTCAGCCTGCGCTTAGGCCCACCGGCAAGCTCTCGGTAAACAGACAGTTCACGTTCGTCCACTTATCCTTTAACTCATCTGGGTTCTGCTCCTAGTGCGGCCATCATAGCTTCCCACAGTTCTGAATCGGATCAGAACATCCATCCAGAAGTTCGGTCTCGAGCAGCTCTTAGACCGTCCGCATTCACCATGAGCCACAGCTTGGTTATCTGCTGTGCAGTTCACCGTGACTGCAGAACACATTACTGGGCATCCTGACGCCAAAACATCGTCTCACGAGTTACCCCGGGACCAGAAGAGCCTCGAGAGAGCCAATTCATAGTTGTCTGCGATCCTTCGAGTCTTCGTACGTTGACCCTCGAGATAAACATTGTCTCTGATTTCTAACCACTAGCAGAAATTGTTGGATAAACGCCCGAGCGGTCCTTCTCAACCACCTCTACGGATTATTAGACAACCGAGAGAAAAGTCGTCTCATTTGGTTACATGGCACGGCGGGTATTGGAGAGAGTGTTATCATCATCTCCTTAGGCGTAGATGTTGACAACGACATCTTTTTCCTGCTGTATTCCTCGAAGGCATTCGAAACCTCGCTATAATATCCTGCCGCCAGCGACAGCTGAACTCGGGCGGCTGGCGAGCCGAGTGGGCAAATGTTTCATCGTGGTGTCTGCGAAGATAAAGTTCATTGATGATGGGTACAATGATCACAGTGATCGGCTTCAGCTCATGCTCGAACTCACGCGTGCACTGCTACCAGGAACAGAAGTGTACAAGTAATATGACTGTATCCTCTCGACATGTGCTGACCCACAGTAGGCATACATGCACTTGTCCGTGGTTGCTGTGGTGGCGGGCCCTCTACTGCTGTCACACTTCTTGGTCCTGGTCAGGCCAGGGATGCAGAAATAACACTGTTGCAACTACAATGTGTCATGAAACATTCCTACCGATAGCAGTCTTCCCGTCAATATTCACCACTCGTCCCTTCGTGATTACGTTTTCAATCCCTCAAGTTGCAACCTCTATCAAGTACAACACTTTATACAATCTCACTGCTTATTCGCCCATTCGCCCTTCCGCTTAATGATGTACAACATTCTAGGAAGTACGGCTCTCTTGAACGCCTTCTTAGAATCCAAGAACAAGATCCGAGATAGGGAGACCCGCGACCAGAGCTTAAAGGAGTTATTAACCTTCACTATCGAGCCACCGGAGCCACTACAAGTTCTTATGGTTCTATTGTGATTCAGGGAAATCATCATCCGGGGATGACATTCTGGCTAGAAACTCCGGACGGGCGTTCCCGGTCGCGAATCCAAGGAAGGAGATACTGGTGCGACCCAGGACAAGTCATGGACGTTGGCATACCCGCTGAGGATTCCGCCTTCGCCTGGTCTCTCGTAGAGTCCATGTCAAGATTCGAGCGAACGTAACTGTCTCAAGACTATGCCGGTGCAAGTGCAAGTGCTGCTGGAGAAGTGGTCACGGCAGGGGGTGGGGTGCCTGGAGACCCTCAGGGGCGAGCGAGAGTGTGACACTTGGAGCGGGTCAAATTCGGCAACCTGGGATTGGCCAGGCTGAGTACAGATCCCAGACGAGTAAGAGTGGCAACCAGCCAGCTTTTTTGACGTTTCCTGCTCTCCTGACGTCACAGTACCAACACCATTTTGGTAATTTTATGTCGGCAATTCTACAAATTCTACAAGACTGTCATGTCATTCTCCACAAGGCCACCGGTTTCTCCCAAACAGGGGGAACTTCGATACTATGCAGGCCTTTGTGAGTTATGCAAATGAAGCTCACGATCGAAGTCGAACAACTTCCGAAGGTCTCGAGTACGCATGTCAACACTGGGCCTTCCATCTTTCTCCAACGTGCAACTACCTCCGCTGTACATTCAAGTCTTTCTAGATCCATGACGTCCTCCTCTGGCTTGAAAGACAGTGGTGCTTAAATGGTGCTTCATCGCTCTAAACGAAGGGGAGAAACTTGCGAAGGTGTGAATTTCTAATGAATCTGAATCTCGCTACTCAGCATCCGACCTATGCATATAGGAATATCTCTCTTCAACAGTTTGAGGTTGTCGCTTTTCAAACGAGATGTCGAACGTCGTGCTGTCCCATTATCGTACATTTTATTTTATTTTCCTTTCGGTTGTTTGCCACGACCATGGGAAGCACAAATCCAGAAGATTATCATACGCAACCACAACATATACATCTCGAATTTGTTTTTGCCGTCTTTCAGAATGTTGAGTATTACAGTCTCGATCCTTGTGCCTGGCGTAGGTGTACAACACACTCATGTATCGACTAAATGCAGCGGCGCATGCCCAATCATTCCATCCTCATCTCAAGCTCTAGTACTATGAGAAACATATTCAAACAGCATCGAGGATACAATCACATGCATCTAGATTTGCCAAGTATTGACGAGGCATTAGATACAACACCTTAGTACAACTAATAAACGCGGGTCTTCCATCTTTGAATGATTCTAGCTACTCATCGCCTTCTTCAGCGGAATGCACACTTGCATCTTCATCAAGCGACTCCTTCCTTCCAGTCTGCACCTTTAGCTGTTTCGATGTCATCCCCTCTTGTAAAGAAAGCGACGCCGGGGCATTCGTGCAACTGCCCATCGGTGTTATTATGACAGTCGTAAAGACTCCGTTGGAAGCGATCGACTGGTCCAAGTCAAATGCAGTGTCATTTGAGCATATGCGGTATAAGAAGGTCACGATCACCAGGAGATTGCATATGATGAGACTAAGTGCGGCCTAATTTCGGTCGCATTGTGCAAAGCAGTGCGGGGACGGGGGGATGCTTACCTTGAGATGCGCAAACATGAGCGTGATTTTGTTATAGACGTTGAGGAGTATGAGTATAGAGTGAGTGATTGTGATGGCGGTAATTAGAAGTGATGCGCCAAATGCAGATTGGACCAATAATTTTTTGCTGCGCGAAAGTCGCATGTTTTTCATGAGATAAAGCGGCGCAGCAACGAGGGAAACATCCGCGATGATGTCCGCTGTAATACGCGTTATTTGAGGACCATAGCACCCCAAGAAAGCACATAGGCACTGACTTATCAGAAGCGAGAGCGCCACCGGCTTGCCCATGTGACAAGAGTGGAATTCGCAAATAGTGATCTTCTGGGCGAGCAGCGCGGCCCACATACACGCAAAGGATACTGCAATGAGATAGGTAATCTGTGAATGGATCTTGTATGTTGAGTGAGTGGCGACAGGGATGATCGAAAAAATGACGCTCATGCGCGCAGCCCTGAACCAATTTGTTAGAAATGTAACTGAGTGAGCTGTGATGCTCACCACAAAACAGTGGTAAAAGATATGGTGAGGGCCCATGCTGTGAGTGGTATGAACATGTTATTCTTTGGATACGAATTCAAGTACTACTCACCACTTATCGCTCTGTCGACCCAAATACATGCCAGGCAAACAACTGAGAGGATGTGATTGGCTTATTGTTCAAAGTAGCCTATAGGGAAAATCCTACCGTCTGCAATCAGTGCAAGTGCCGCCCATGCATCATCCCACCATAAGTGACGCATCCAGCCTCTGTACATGAGCCTAAAGATGGTGCAGATGATGGCGATACTGTGCGATACCAACTCCACGACTTTCCGGATGACGATAAACATAACAGTACCCAATAGTAGTAAAATTAGCTCACCACTAATCTGAGGGGAGTAGTATAATGCTACCATCGGAAATCTTGGGTAGACAAGGAGAAGAGATGCAAATTGTGAAGACCGACCAGACAGGTGACGCAGGATGACACTATTCATGTTCTTATACTTTCTCGCAAGTTTTCTGATCTATGATAGCCTGCAGGGCTATGCACGTCGCAGACAGCGCCGACTGATGAGGTCTCACAAAACGTATAGGTGTCTGTCACGGGGGACGGGATTACGAAGTGCTTCCTCCCACGCGCGTCGCAGATCGACTGCAGCGGATAACACTACTCGCCGATGGGCCTTGAAGCTAGAAACTTAATCAGAGCAGCGGCCGGCTGCATCCCCCATCCCATATGCAAAGAGCCTTACCTTGCTGTCTTGATCAGAAGATGAAATCCTGAAGGGAAATTCAGGATGCGAAGATATGATTAAACATTGACTTGAATGGTTGTTGCAATCCTTTTGCCATCCAGGGATCCTCTGCGCCCAATTACAAGCTACCCTGGATAATTAGAAACCTACGCTGATGGGCCAGCCTGGACTAGTCCGAACTACTGCAGTGACTTAATAGGTGCCTGGCATATAACCACGGATCACGGACACAGGCGAAGCGGAATTTGAAAATTGTCAGTGCCGACTGTGCCGGTCGAAGCAGCAGTCCAATGGCATCTTTCTCGTTTGAAGAAACGAAACCATGACCACTGCCGTATGCTGAAAGGCAACACTCTCATATACACTCCAGAGTCTTGTCGTGAGTAGTGTCAAATGAATACTATATTCCTTGACCTGTAATCTGTGATAGCCCTCTTGTGAGGGAAAAGTAAGATCATGCAGGATATCTTTGCAGAAGATCACGTCTTCCTGCAAGCAAAGTCTTGAGTTGAAATAACTTCGGATGTTTGGTGCCTTTGGAGACCAAATCAAGATGCTGCTGGGATTGTATCGTTGAAAACGTGTCGAGAACGTTCAAAGTAGATATGAACATGAGTAATGCAGAATGAATCATGTACAACGTAGAGATTGGCAGCAAAACGGCAATGTCATATTTTTGAACTCCGTGCTTCGCTGCATGCCGAGATTGGTCAGTCACGCGCATACATTGTGGGAATCTGTGTTCGTATCGATCCGAACGTGGATGCCAAAAGAAAACAGTGGCCTTCATCGATGGACTCAACACGATATAAAAGCTCTTCTTGATACCCTGATATGAAGTGAGCTGTCTTTATCCTCCAGTTATCTGCGCATTGAACCCAGAGGTCAAATTTCCGCTCCGTGTCTACCCACTGAGGTAAGTGTCGTGTTTTTTTACCTCTGATCGTACGTACTTGATAATCCATTTGGCCAGGGCGTTGTATTGGTGATGGTGGTCACTGGTGACAGTCGTTAAACAGTCTTGTTTGTCAGACTTGTCGTTACATGTGTATTCTCGCATTCGTCATGATTACATTGTGGATGATCATGCCTGCCAGTGTGAGACCCCACTATTTTTGATGAGAATGCTTCTGTGCGTTTGACGGTGCTGCTGAACCCGATGATGCAGATCGGACACTCCTTAAGAATGCCTTGGGCCAACCAATCTTTGGTACTTGCTTCATCAACATGCCATCTCGATTTTGATCCCGCAAAACTGCAATTGTTTTTTTTCCGCCACGCCCAGAGCTTGGAAGCAGTGCACCGATATAATCATAATGGCTAGTGGTTCCGGTCAGCTCGAACCGATCAGGCTCAATGATTGCACCGCCAATGTTATACGTCATGGCCCCCATGACCTTGCCGCGTAAGTTCTTTATATCATAACGGCACAATTGATTTGGCAAGATTCTGAATTTCTGATAGTCCTTGTTCACTTGCCTTGGTCACCGGATCATACGAAAGGGCTCGAAGCCAGACAAGAATGGGCTTGGTCGGGCTTGTCGGAAATATATTTTGATTTGATTCCGGTTTACCCCGCTCATCACGTGTGGCGATCGACAGACCTGCCTATCTGAGCACTACACTTGGATTTCTTGCCTCCGTTGACCCAATTTAGTATTGGATGACAGTATACAAGGAGGCTGACATGCCTGGATCAAACGCAGCGTACCTACTCCATCTCTTCTTCTCTTACCCTACATCACGAAAACTCCCTCTCTACTTTCCCTTCCCTTTTTCAATTCGCTATGATACTCGATCGTACGCATGCTATCCTACATCACAGTATGCTAGGAACTACTTTCAAAGGCATCGATCATCCAATATCCACCCCGGATGTACCCATACACCAATTCCGCGGAATCAAATACGCCACTGTACCAGCCCGTTTCCGTCAATCGAAACTTGTCACTTCATACCCCCACTTAGTTGACGCAACCCGCCACGGGTACGCCTCCTTTTTGTGTTGTGCCTGTTCAACTGCTAACATGCTCGTTCAGTCCAATATGCCCACAGCCTGTCGGGAAAAGTCTTGAAGAAGAGCTCATTGGTCTTGCCGACTGTGATATCCCAAGACAAGTCTTTAAACAGGACGAGTTTGACTGTCTCAATCTGAACATCACCTGTCCTGCTGGTCATGACCGTGGGTCACAAATTCCGGTTATGGTTTGGATCCATGGGTGAGCCTAGTCTCGTACTCTTCGTTGTGTGATAGACGCTCATACGAGTAGCGGAAGTAACCGTGGTTGTGGCTCAAGTTGGATCTACGATGGCGGCGCTCTTGTTAGAAAGAGCGTTTGTATTGGTTTACCGGTCATAATGGTCACAATCAAGTACGTTTCCTTCCGCCTTGCGTGTATCAGTGCAGTCGTATTCATTCATGGTTAGCTTTCGCATAGGAGTATTTGGTGTTGCCGCCAACATGCAGTTGGTAGAAGATAACCGAGCAGCAGGTGACGAAGGTGTGGGCAACTATGGTTAGTCTATCTTGCGTCCTTCACATTGCTTTGACTGATGAGTATCCGACAGGCTTGCACGACCAACGTCATGCTCTGGAATGGGTGAACCGTTTTATCGCAGATTTTGGAGGAGATCCATCCAATGTCACCCTATTCGGACATTCTTCGGGAGCAGCAGACATCGTCTCACACCTGTACTCCAATGCCAACTTGACTTGCCCCCTATTTGCTCGGGCAATCGTTCAAAGCGCAATCATCGAACACAATCCTCCAGAACCACATTCAGCTGGATGGCAAATGTCTAGAGCATTGGCTCCACTCCATGCCTCTTCCGTCGCACAACTTCGTGGTATAAGTCCTGAGGCACTTATTAACGTCAATCTCCCCTTCCGCGCGGTCGATGACGGGGTATTCTTCAGAAAAGGATTCAAAGATTTCTGTTCTCACACTCGGGGTCGGAAGAACCTACCAAAAGTCATCTTGACAAAGGTTTGAATCCGCTGCGGTTTGCCATTCGCAAGGCAAAAAGTCCGCACCCAGTGAAGCGGCCATCAGCCTGTCGTTTCCTCTACATCCATCCCTGATCTCCAGCCTCTCCTTATCGGTGACTGCGCATGCGACTCTTCTCTTTGGTCTCAGCCTGCGCGTCACTGGGCCGCCCCTGCTGTCGTGCGACGAATTCGTGCGATATGCCAATCTATCACAAAATCTTCTGCTCTTCTCAATGCTTATGAGATAGGCTCGCACATTTTCACGGAAGATCTTGCCGAACGTTTACTTGAGATCGTGGAGGATGCACGCATAGCGTGGCCCACGGAATGTGTTGCTCAAGCTGCGCAGAACACTGGTCGACAGGTCTGGCGGTATATATTTGATCAGGAGGGTCCCACACAAGGGATGCCCCACCATGCAGCAGATTTAGTATACTTATTTGACAACGTCCCACTCCCATTATCACCTTCGTCCTCACCTACTGCTTTCGACGATGACGAGTCGCTTCCATCACTCCCATCGTCAAGATCGACTGCTGCTGACATGGGCGAGATTCCCGATAAAACGTGCACCATGGACAAGCTCGATCTCATGGATATCGACAAGCTCTCTTTCGGCTCAGAGTCGAGTTTCGGCGGGTGGGCGCAACCCGTTGTTGATGAGTTGATGTATGCCCGCGTGCGAGATGCGATACAGGAACGGTGGATCACATTCGCGCACGGAGAGCGGCCATGGGATAATTCTCATGGCAAGGTGTACGTTTTTGGCCCTGAGGGCGAAACGGGCGAGCGAAGTTCGGGTATTTTTGGAGGCAGGCGGCGTCAAAAAATATGGGAGGAAGTGCTGAAGCCTTTAGGCATGACGCTTGTGCAGAAGGTCGCACAAGAGCTCAGCAATGGGCCTGGGCTGCCGCGGTAATTGTCGTGAGTTCAGCGCACTGTGATGGGCCTCAAACAAAAGCGCATGTCGCACAATATTTGGATTGCGGGAATAATAGATTATCTATCGGGTTTGTGTTGTCATTTTCTCTACCAAGGGTCTCGTACACGGTCGAGCCTACTTATCATATCGCATTGCATATCTACGGTTCATGTTTACGAATGCACATGTATTTTATTATTGCATTAATATCACATACCAACACTAGCAGGAAAACGCGCAGCAGCCGCATAGCATGACGTGGAAGGTGCAATAGCCAATGAACCCTAGCCAACAAATCTGGTATTAATGGAGCATGGCCGACGGGGATCACAGGTGCCAAGGAGAATTTGCGAAACCTGGTCAGATGAGATGGATCGTGATATGATAAGAACAAGACATGTGCTCATCCGAAAACGTAGTTACGTACTCCTTCCTTGTCATGTGACTAATGTTTGGATTTTGTCATTCGTCAAAGTCGTTTGTTACGTTTATCTACATCATTACCCTAACGCACGAAACGCAGGCAGAGCGCATGTTGCACATTTAAACATATCTGTGACATGCGTTGTGTCAGTGTCTCGTGTCAGCAAGACATGCCTTCGTCGACACACCATGCTAAAGACTCCACAGATTCAGTGACACTAAAAAATACCACTGCGATTGCGAGAAGTTATGCAAGAGCTAGCTGCACCAAGCACTTTATGGAACGTGGAGACGGCATGCAGAGTTTCGAGGTCCCGATATGAAGGGGACATGGAAAAGAACGCAGATTGGTATGGCCAGCTCTGCTGCTTCTCGAGGTTGTTCTACTAACGGTAGCGCGTTAGATATTCGTAGGTCTCTGGATCGGGACCCACAACATGTCCAGCAGGATGAACAGGATCGTGATCCTGGTATAAAGGTTCGTCTCGTTTTGCTTGTGCTTTCTACTACGATGACTTATGATTTCAATTTATCCCTACAGGAGAACCATTTTGCAGGTTACGACGCCTCTGGAGACATTCCCGGCACGGCGACAGATGTCCGCCCTCCCATTTCACCTTATCAACATGTGATTCTACAACAATTTCCATCCCCGGATCCACTACTATCAGACCCTAATGATAGCGATGTTCTCGCACCCTAGATGCGGACGAGTGTGTCCTTATGGAGGATGTTTATCCGCACGTGAAGCGTAATACCCTTCGTCACTCCCTTACCATGTTTCTCGCAGACGCAAACAGCCGGTCTAGACGACGAAGACGCCAGGCTGAGCACAGAAGCAGTCACACGGCTCAAATTCCCACTGCAGTTCACACCTCCGCTTCAGGGGATCACATTATCACTGCCGCCGTCAAGCTCTACCTCGTTCAGCTTCGGACAAGCATGCGCAAGATAATCATCGAGCTTCACGGTTGGGCGCCGGCATTCAACGCTATGTCTCGCAATGGTGTTGACGTTTTTCGAAATGGTTGGATGTAAGTCATACAATCACACATATCGTTCAAATTAATGAGTCTTGGCTCATACCGCGAGTTATTGTACTGATCGTATCCTTGCCAAGGCATGTACTTTTGTACGTTCCAGGTGCAGGGTCATATACTTCATCGCCTTACATCACGATGGTTAACGCTATATGATCTCAATGTGATTTCAATATCGTCGAAAGACACCAGGGAGCTCGCTAGGAACCGAGAAGGAGTCAGCCTGAACGACATCACCCATCAGAGTAGGCACCAGCAGTGCGGGAAGAGTCGGAGTAGGGCTGAGTCAAACGGTGGTGCACATTGCGATTCTTGAGGCTGCAAGAAGTTTGTCCATTGTGAATATTCAAGGGTTCTTGGGATGGATTCTGTCATAATCCAGTGAGGCGCACGCCAGCCATGGGGATGTATGTGTATGTTGACCGGTACGTCTTCTTTGATGCTTGACAATTTTATAAAGTATGATGGACAGTCGGACTCATCCGCAGACGTGTACCAACCTGCCCCGAACTATCTATCAATACACAAGTTCCTGCGGCCCGCTACATCGGCCTTTCCAACGAGCGTGCTCAACGTTCGAGTTCACCCAACACAGCATCTACTGCTCCGTCGTCCCTTAGTTCGTACTCAGGACTGACAACTTCCGGGGGAAACTTCAAACGTGCAGACCTTGTCGAGCATCACAGGATGTCACCCATTCCAGATAGTGTCTCACATCCTGACATGCTTTTGTTTGCTCTCAGACGTTTCAAGGATAGATCGTCTGGAAGACCTCGGAATATCGAGCTTACCTCCATTTACAGAGATTTCAGATATCACTGCTTTCCAGCTAGACGAGTAGGGAAGAGTGAAGTCCTCTCATTCCCGTCGTATTCTGATCATTCGTTATAGTTCCTATCTTTATCGATGTTCTTATTATTCGGCATCATTCGTTGTGTAATCCTTGTGCTGTATCGTACGAACGACTGAGCAGTTGCAAGTTCGTATCTGTGCGAGGGTATAATCAATTGCTTGATTGGCAGGGAGATAGATAGACGCCGTGTATAGCTGTTGTGCCACAAGCCATAAGGACTATTGCTTCGTGTTCGTTCGCTGCCATATCTCGCCACGACCTCGTTCTGTATCGCAGTACAGCTTTCACAATAAATCAAATCACCTCTACTTCAGAACGCATGTCAAGATCCCCCCAATGGCAACCATCGAAACCCAGGACCTTAGAGAAAGAATCGGGCGCTTTCGAGTTCTGATCATGGGGAGAGCAAACCCAGGCAAAACGACCATCCTTCAGAAGGTCTGCAACACCACCGATCAACCAGAAATTTACGATACCAAAGGAAACAAGGTGCGGGTGATGATCTATGCCATGCACGCGTCCATCTCTGATCAATCACAGGTAGATCGATACTGCCATCGTGGAATCATCGATTAAGGTGCGTGCATGGTTTTCACTGTGGGCATACATCATCAGTGAATTGATGAGACCTTGATATTGTAGCCGTGCGAACTGTAGAAGAATATAATTCTGCTCTACTAAATATGATCATCTATACACCTGTGACTCCCGCATAAGGACAGTAATAATAGGCGATAACACATAGGGTTCGCACCTGTAAGACGAGGCAAAATCAGCGTGTCAGAGCCTCCTTCTATATTGTTTGAATAAAGAGGAACTTTATACTGCTAGGACGTAGGTAGCACTGTACTACCACCGGCATGTCGGCAATGCTGTGACGTGTTCCCGGCACCGGCTAATAATATCCGAATGTTCGTGCTCGCTGTGTCGTACGATGAGCTCACGTATCTCATGATGATGTGAACGTATTGGAGGCGCGTTTCGACGCATGGCATTCAAGTAAGTATCACGATACGTGTATCAGTACAATAGCATATGTAAACTAGACTCGGACTATACTAACTCTCATCGTCAGTATTGCCATGAAGTTCAAGCTGCGAGAAATCATCAGCAATGCGTAGGACATCTTGAAGACTCCTTGATACTTCCTCTGCTACTTCCTCTTCCTCTTCCTCGCCATCCAAATCATCTTGGGTGTCTGAATCTACGGATGCACCTTTATCTAACGGCATGTGTTCTGTAAGTAGCGCTGATGGGATCCACGCGTTTGATGTGCTGGCGCTGTCCCCGAGACTGGTGTTAATGCTGGCACCTGGTGTTATTATCCCGCTGAAACCACTGAGCCTAGATATATCATAGAGCCGGTTCAAATGCCGTGAGTTGAATCGTCCTCGAATATTTCGATGTAACGCAACCTGATGGGCAAGAGCCGGGTTTGCATCCTTCAATTGATCTTCGCACCTCCGCAGATAAATGTCCTCATCTTGTATATATGTCGCTAGGCGTCGTGTCTCGATATTCAAGCGTTGTATCTCCTCACGTGCCCGACACATTTTGAAGTATAGGTCCATCGCGCTACGAGCACCGGGTGATGACCAAGGATGTCGAGACACATCTGCACGCATGTCATGTAGCAGATCGAAGTCTGCGAGAAATGCGTACTCCACAACATCTTCCCACTTGAGAGTCTGGCGTGGGGGGTACATCGAGCTGGCGATGGAGTTGTACGTGTTTAGAGCAGATCGGATAGCGACAGAACGAGTCTGTAGTGCTTTAGCTATATGCTTCCTTAGTTTATAGCCTTATGTAGTATTAGAATTAGCGTCGCAAACAAGATATCCCGAAAACTCACCTGTGCCTGCCCGATTCATCTTCGTCAGCTCAAATATGCGTGCCACAATTAATCCTTCGAGGCGATCCAGTGCACGCTGGTATTTCCGGTTTGCAACGAGTCTTCCAACTTTCTGCCATTGCGGATCTTCGGGAGTCCAGCGTTTCTCGACCTCAAGCTTGCACTCGAGTGCTTGAACGACTTTAATGTGCCTCTCATAATCCTCCAGGGCGTGCCGTCGCGCAGTTTCGGCTTTCTGGGTGTTTTTTGCCTGCACATCATACGAGGCAGCCTCCAGGTGAGATGAGCCCTGGAAAGCTGACATTGCAGCATCCAGAGCCTCCCTATGCAAATGTTGTGTCAGCGAGTGCAAGGCCCGTACCTCGGAAACTGAACTCACTTGCTCGCAGTAAGACTCGTCAACTTTTGCCAATATTCCATCTGCAACGTTTCGTCCTCAGGTTCTCGCGTCAGACTTTGTAGATATACCTTCTCTTCCTCCAGCCATTGCTCGAAAACAGTCTCATCCGGGATTTTGAGATCTCGTATAAGCGTTGGAAGGGTCGCATTACCATCATTCAAGATAGCAAGTGCCTGCTTGTAGTTGCTGTATAAAAAATCGGCTACGAAAATTATGTCAGCACGTGATCACGTCTTACAATGAACAGCTTACAAAGATTGGCGTATACTTCGAAGTTGTCGTTGTGCTCGAAATAGGCGTCGATGGCCTGTTGTCGATGGAATACACTTGCATAACGTAGTGCGGACGCTAGGGAATTAGATTTAGAAAATGTCCGTTCGCACGTTTCCAGGTCCTCGAGTCCTAAACCTTTGATGTAAGTAGTAAGTGAGAAAAGCTGGCACAATCGCCTGTGCGCATGCCCATGGAAGGCACCAACGAGACAAGTGTGTTGCAGTGAGCGTGCGAGAGGTCCAATGGAACTGTTGTCAAGTGTCGTCTTGAACTGACAACCTATATCGTATCCACCACCCAATTGTTTCCCGAACACGTCCATCAATTTTGACACGACAGCCAGAGGATACTTCGCACTATTGAGACAGTTATTAATTTAAAAAATAGCATACAACAGACATTACTTACAGCTCACCGCTCTGCACCATGTCTGCGATGACGAGAGAAAACCCATGGCGACAGACGGCCACAAATATACCAGTCTCGTCATAGATACCCCAAGCCTTCTTCGTCTTGGTGTCGTCCATGTTTTTCCATCGCCCGGCGCAGGAGTTATCTGTAGGCTCGTTTTCTACAATAATATTATCCACAGCGGTGGTGTCCGATATGTCCGAAGTGAACTGGTTGACAAATGTGCGGGGTAGGTAGCGGTCACTGGTGAGTTGCTGACCTGTAGGAAGTTCAGAGGATGGACCTAGAGACTCGCCATCATGATCTAAAGACCGTCGGAGCACTCGTTTCAAGGAATCATTGCCATCCATCGCGTATAGTAGCTTGAATGTTAGATCTTCTTCGTCCACTAACTCATATGTGCAAGCAGGGCACACATGTTTAAGACGCCAATCCGGCGAGTCACGGCGAAGTGATTTGGCCACCATTGCCGCCACGCAACGTCGTACCTGGAGGTACAGGTCGAATGCAATGGAGAATTGGCGTGATAGGTGCCTATGAAATTCGGCCTAGATGAATTCAGTGCCAGGCATGTACATAGAATAAAGTAAAGAATGTACTTACCCCCCGTAAATCACACAGCGACTTGACAAAGGCCTGAATGGAAAGGTGAGGACTTCGAAGATGTACGATACGGTAAAACTCGAGGACTTCCGTCGTTATCCCCACCATCGGTGATGTAGGTGAACAAGGCAAAATGCCTTGACGAATGAGAGCTGAGGCGATGGTGCGGTCGGTAGTCAGTATTTGGAGCGTCACTTTCTCAGCGCCTGTAGAAGCGCCCGCACATGCCGTCACTAATTAGTATGTAATAACTTCCAATCAAACCAATCACTCACAAAACGCATCTACCACGCTCATTGTCCATTGTCCACAGGTGGTATCGTTCTCAAGGTGTGTGTCTTCACGGCGCAGTTGGTCAAAAAAGCCTGTGAAGCCTACCTTATATTTGGCCAGGCTCCATTCAAGATACGCGTCAGTCATCGCCGGCATTTGCTCAGCGAACGCTTGGTTCCTGCGCAGGATCCGGTCACGACGACTACGATTATCGACGCGTCGTACACGATCCTTTCTGTTTAAAAAGGTGTGTGTCAGTTATTAACTCTCAAATGATAATGCTCACTTGTTCCAACAGTCTCCTAAAACACCTCTGACGAGGTCGCTGAACTCGCCTCCAGCGTGGCTGATGGGCAGTGGCTCTGTGCCGTTCAAGACATCGTCAAAATCATCGTCCTGCCATCCCGCATCATCCTCGATATTGGGACAGCTGACATCTCTCATAGCTTCTAGTGCTCGTCGCTCATCAAGGCTCATTGCTATAAACGAGGTTAGTTTTTTGCTTGTTTAATTGGCTTGTGTACTGAGGCTTGCCTTGTAGACGTATTTGCCGTCGCTCATTGGAAGTCGCCGCCTGCTGAACCAGTTCCCGGTGCTTGAACACCTTCGACACAGACCTGATGGGCAGCCCGTTCTTGTCTCTGGAGGACCCAATATGCCGGATCGATCGCAGGGAGAGATTTGTCCGAATCCGCCGCTGGTGTGCTCGCATTATTATCTACAGCCCTCTAGTGTTGGTAAGGTTTTGTGCTTTTCAATTCACGTGACTGATTATCGGTACATACTACAGTGTCTATTCGACCTGATCACAAAGCTGGGGAAAATGCTATGGGAGAATGCACTTCTCAACGCGCAAAAGGTGCGATGACATCTATGTTTTTGTAGCCTATGTTGACTTCGGCGATGCGTAGGTGACCGAACTCAATCCTTCGTCTCACGTTGGATACCAGTTGACACATGCAGCGCTGCATGGTGCGCAACATTACGATGCAGCTATCGAAGCCTTCAAAATCATGTTGTCCAAGTTGGACGATTCTCCCGAAGCGCGGATGCAAGGTAAGCCTTGGGACACTCTTGCATAATCTCGAAACACCTATCTCGTTTTGCAGACAATTCCTCCGTGCAACACTGACCCCTAGATCTAAATTATTTAGTTTGAATTGCGAGTGCTACCTGTAGTAGACTGAATAAATACTTTGTCTCTTACTCCTGCTGTGATATCATGAGTCTGTAAATGTGTTGAATATGTCTGTATTGTGTAGCACCTAAGGCCTAAGTAGTTGAACAATGAATTGTTTAATCGCTGTACTAGCGAACAGCGTCAGTGTGACATCCGAGTTCGTGCAATAACAACTACTTGAATCACCATCGTAATCGTAAATGACACTCATAACACTTTGTTTCGGCTTCGGCTCATGTATTGTATGTCAGGTTCTTGCTATTGAAGCATCCTGTTTGTTCAAAAATTCATAATATGGTGTTGTTCAGGATGCCGGGGATTTGAAGACACATGTTCGCTATGAGTTCGCTATGAATTCGCTATCCGTTCGCTATCTGTTCGCTATCCATTCAATATCTGTAGGTTTTATGTTCATCCATTGCATTCACTTGGGTACTCGAAGGGCTTCTACATTGTAAAAATCCTAGTGACGTACTGTATCTAGTTTGACTTCGAAGAATTTTACCTCTGAAAGGACTAAAACTAGTAAGTCGTACAGTAGGATGGCATCGTACTTAAGGTGCTCCCTGCAATATGAGCAGTGTGTGTGCATGACATCCCGAATACTTTCCAGTAGCATCCTCCCATCCATAGCTCGTTGTGCGACTTGATCAAAGAATAAAGTAGCGGCCCGTTCTCCCTTTGCGCGAGAGCATGCAAGTTCTGTATCAAACACTTCATTCCACGTGGTGCTTTCTGACCCCCAGTCCTTCTGCCATTGTCCAACGAGGATTTCAAGTGCTTGCAGTGTTGGAACATCGCAAGAGCATGGTAGATCGTTGTCCATGCTGAGGATACTGTCATCATGATCGAACTGATCATGACTGTCCGATGGATCGTTTTCCATGCTGAGGACACTGTCGTCATGATTAAACTGACCATAACTGTTGTGCGATGGGGGTGAACCGATGGCCACAATATCTTCGCCGTCTGATGGGGGTGATCCAATGGCCACAATATCTTCGCCATCTGATGGGGGTGATCCGATGGCAGCCATGCCTTCGTCATCGAATGGGCTGTCAACGTGAGACTGGATTCCTTTTTTCCTATTGATCGATTAGTACCGAATTCAAATGAAAGATAAATGTTTACTTACTTGAGATTTGCTCTATTGCTGCCAGGATTCACATAAGTAAATGAAATTGAGAATGGATATAGGCTCACCGAGCTGTGCGAACACGCGCCTTCGCATTTTGAGAGTCTCGAACACTGAAGGAAGGTAAGTAAGGTTCTCTGTGAGTTGAGTACGTCGACTTACCCTGGCTTGGCGAGCCAACGTTGTGTGGCCATGCGCTGCCTCGAGGAAGGACTGCAGGATCTGCTCCGACGACCCTTGAATTTGGTGTTAGAAAAACCACTCAGATGTTGGCGTTTGAGCTTACCATGCTGGCAAAAGGATGGAACGAAAGACGAACCTCCGTGAGACATCGATAATCGATAACATATGCCTTAGCAACATGAAAATTACAGGTGCCAGCAGGATTACCGCTGTCTGGTCACCGGTGATGATCGACAAGTTTGACAGTATCTGTCGTAGTTTCAAGGTACCGTGTGCGTTGTGTGCGGAAGTATAATACTTATTCTCAATTACTATATTAGGCAATCGTTGTTGGTCCAAATATTATGTACGTCTGCCAAGCTTAGCCTTCGCCATGGCGTGTCTCATCTTGTGAGTGGCTTACATTCATATTGCTCTCACTGATTAACTGACTCGCAACTCATACCAGGTTCAACTCAAAGATACCATGGTGTCTGGCTGTTGTTCTGCATATCATGACCCATCGTTGTGAGGCTCCAACGAACCTTGCTGATCAGACCGACAATCACGAACATATGGTCAATTTCGCGGATCAGCTCGGAATATACCTCGACGAATATATCACCAGCTTGAGCTCTGCGGATCAGCTCGGAATATACCTCGACGAATATATCGCCAGCTTGACGAGGGAAGTGACTTGATCTCTGTGAGTGGATCTCTGGTGCGGTGCTCAATGCTTATGTTTTATATTCCAGTGGTGTTTGCAGTTGCAGCTCAAAATTCAGCAGACAGGGACATGAGGCATGCAGTAAAGGTACGTCTCGTCAGTATCACATTCTACACCGCCTCATGTGGCCTTAGCGGTTTCATATCAATGTTGCAATAACTCTGTAGCAACGCACATGTCGCGTCACGCGTTGTTTGTTTGCATCATCTGTGCCAATAGACACATACCGTCAAATTTTGTAGGCACATCTGCACACCAGCAATTCTTCACCACACCGACTACCATGAGCTATATCTACTATGCTAACGACTGCGAAGGTGACAGCAATTTCACCAATACCACCTCTACCAGATACTTCCCAGATCTCCTGACCGAAAGTGAAGGTCCCGATGATGAGTTTCTCTCGATCAACGAGATCGATTGGGACAACCCAGCATTCTACACCATGCCGCTTACGAGCGACGAGATAGCAGCTCTCACGTCCAATACTACAGCCACCAACAACACACCACAGCTCCCTACCCCCTCATTAGTCACAAACTCGCACCCTGATCTCCCTGCTACCCCACCAGTCACAACTTCAAACTCGCCCCCTGATATTCCTCCTGGTGAACCTTCTGAAACACACTCCCTCAGTCATGAGAGTTCAGAGCCCCTGCGCCAGGCTAATTCATCCAGCTGGGCAGCACGGAACCCAACACACCCTATCATCCGTCCTCGTACACCACCGCCTCGACTCACAGATGCACAGAAGGCTTCTCGCAAGATCAAGAGGGACCAAAAGATTGAGAGAATGAAGCGCTTACACGATGCCGTCGCTGGATATCTGGACGAACAGAAAACAAAGATTGAAGCACTGTCACGGGCTCACAACGTCACTCCGAAGCAAATTAACAATATCATTGGGAGTCAGACACACTATCGCACATCACGCAAGAGTCAATTAATCAATGCCCTTGTTCACGCCAAGGCAATGGAGGTGAACGTAGGTGAGTCGAATGAGTTTTTAGTTCTTGATGATATTGGGCTACTTATCTATGTTGATTAGATCTACCTGCAGGCTCTAGATACAGTTTGGCGGAGCTCCGCGACATGGTCGCAAATGACCCTCAAACGAAAAGTTTGACAAAGGACGAAAAGGCCGCTCACATCATGGCCCTCGAGGAGTATCGTGAAAAGAAGGTAGTCAGTATTCGAGCGAACAATTTGGCAGCTGCACGGGATGTTCTCGTCACGACAGAGAGGATTGTCAAGGAGGTGAGTTTGCTTTCATCTCAACTACAATAAACTGACTCTTTTTGAAGCTCGATGACTTGCGAATTTGCACTGGCATCTATGCAACATTGTTCATTGTCCGCGGTCACATTAACGACACGACTCAAAGTGCCATGCACGGCACGGATAACTCAGAGGATTTTTGGGAGGACGTGTATGAGCACCCCATGGCTGACTTTCTCAGGCAATACGAGCAATGGGCTTGTACCCAGAATCAAAGTAAGTCTTAGTTCACACTGTCTTTTTATCTTGTTCATTGTCCCATAGATCTCAATGAACGTGATTCCTTAGAGGCGGTACGGAAACAGGTACGGAAATTGATTATTCGGGGCCTGGGTGAGCAACAACATTGTCTGTGTGCGCTGTCCCCATCTAACATCATCTCCAGTCTCAATCACCGGCAAAAAGGACATAGTTATGAACTACACCAACTACGAAACAGCTATTGTCGAAGCCTATGGGGTGCGCCTTGTAGGATGGCCTGAAGGTGTCGACTTTATCAGCCCGTCGAACATTGGCACAGTAGGTGACATTCGCAGGCTTCGGGACGCACTCAAGACTAGAACGTGCTCTTGGACCACTCTGTCACCAGCGGAAGTCAAGGCTCACACCGCTGAACTCGATGCACGCCGGTCAGCTGGGGAGGTGGTTCGCAAGCCACGAAAAAAGCGTTCGGACGCTGGAGTAGCTCGGAAGCGCAAGGTTCCGCCCACATCAAACAAGAATAATCGAAAATCATCAAAGAGGGCGAAGGAGGCCCCTGCTCGGCTTCGGGAAGCCCCAAAAAGTGCTGAATTTGTAGAGTCATCTGACGAGGAGGAGGAGGAGGAGGAGGAGGAGGATGAATAATGATATTACATAGCCTTACTTACTTTATGGACACAGAGGGTTTATGTACGTATCGTGATACTTACTTGAATGCCATGCGTCGAAACGCGCCTCCAATACGTTCACATCATCATGAGATACGTGAGCTCATCGTACGACACAGCGAGCACGAACATTCGGATATTATTAGCCGGTGCCGGGAACACGTCACAGCATTGCCGACATGCCGGTGGTAGTACAGTGCTACCTACGTCCTAGCAGTATAAAGTTCCTCTTTATTCAAACAATATAGAAGGAGGCTCTGACACGCTGATTTTGCCTCGTCTTACAGGTGCGAACCCTATGTGTTATCGCCTATTATTACTGTCCTTATGCGGGAGTCACAGGTGCATCTATACTGTTAAAAATTTGAGTTGTACATACATAGCCATCAGTGCCTGCAAATTCAGAGTAACATGAGTAGTGCACAACAATATGATGACATTCCTGCATTGCAGTCGACGAGGTGTGGTAGTATACTGGTGGCAATCATTTTGAATATTGTCATTTTGTCTGACTTTTGCTTTGCCTTATAATCTCATCCAAGACATTCTCGTGGGAGGTGCCTTTATCACTCGTCAACAAATGTAGAATAGCGTGTGATTTTGTAACAAAGTTGTGACCTGCGGCAATGAAGATCAACACAGGACGGTAGTGCACCTCCCTCATACCTCTCGGATGCTCTCGGTTTTCGTCATGTATGGTTAGAATTAGGAGACAATCCAAGACCTTGCTGTGGGAGGTGCCTTTGGCACTTGTCAACAGATATAGAAGTCACCGCAGCAGGCAGGGCTCAGCAGCGCACTTTTCTCAATCTCGCTGATCGTTCTAGTTTTGCAAGCGAACTGTTAAGACACGGAAAAATTTAAAAATCGAGTATATTTGCTAGTTCCCACCAGGAAATTTAGATACAAAGAAACAAGAGAACCGAGAGTAAAGCAGGGGGCGCGCCAGTCAAATTGTCGTATACGACACTGTCGAGTCCATAGGCTAAATAATCTGTAAGGGGCGTTAGATACGTTTATGCTACGCCATATCCTCGTTGTATGTCGAAGTTATTCCTGCAGTGACACCAGGAAATCGACTCCGTGAAATTCGAATGCATTTGGAAGTGGCTGGCATCAAGACTTAGTAACACCAAGGCAGAGAATCAACAGTAAATCAAGTTACCTGGAAGTGTATAGGCATTTCTAAAGCGGCCTTGAACGTTTCACCATAGCAGATGCTTAAGAAGGAGACGACTAGTGCGGAGAAGGCGATAATATACAAACAACATGCGGTGCAGACGAATGGTTTCAATTTCAGCAACGGAAGGAGCCGCAGCTATGAAAGCAAGTGGTCCCTTGGATAGACATGGTATTTGCAAGAAAGCATATAAGCATCTACAGCCAGACGTGAGACGAATAACACAAGTGCGATAAGAAAGCGCACGGATATAGCTTCTCATGAAGCTCAATGAGAAGACGAAACACAATGAACCCATCTTCAGATATCGTCATCGTCGTGAAGCCATCTGCCGCATAAATCGATCAAAAGAGGTCTGAACAGATCGGCGATTGTCAGAGTGAGAGCTGGAACAGCTAGCAGTCGAGATAATGTGGATAGAGCGTGTGTTGGTATAGTTGCTTTAGTTATATGTTGGATATGGAAATGGTCGATATCAACTCCAATTTTTCGTCACAATGACCAAACTTTGCTCCAGAGCTGAGGGTGAGTTCTCCTTGGAGATCTAGTACGCACGGGTGAGCATTGTCTAGAAGGTTGTAGTTATCACATACCGAATAAACAAGAGTCTAGATGCAACGCCAGAGCACACGACTTTGAAAGAGAGACTCCGAGTCGAGAAGGACGAGAGTCCACATGCACTGACAGCGCCAGAGTGCAAAAGACTCAACTCGGAGAAGAGCAGGAGTGAACGAGCCTGAGCCTGAGAGTCTTCATGAAGCGCCGGAGTACAGACGAATCAGAACAGGCGTTCGAACCTTCAGGGCGTAGTGCGAGTGAGGTATTTCAATTTTGCAATAGTCAGTAGAATAACAAAATGACGAAGTTGCGATATTGAAGAGGTGTCATCGATCTCATTTTCGTCCTCGGAATGCTTTGAAGATCTGACATAGCGGGTCCTTCAATGCTGTTCAAGTCGTCGAACAACTATATTTTGATGCTTATGCAATAAACGATAAATGATCTTTAATTGGCTGAATCATGTAGCGGGTACAGTATTACATCATTAGTCACGTGAAAGAAGTTGAACAAGTACGCACGGACTTTCCTGCCTCGTTCGTTGTCCTCTACTAGTACACCTATTCTAACCGTATGTCGTGGCGCGGCTTCTGGTTGGTGAGTGATATGAAATAGGCGTATTGGGGCTCATTAGGTTGTTAAAAAGATGTCTTTCAATGTGCTTTGTCATCACGACTCCGAGTCATGCTCGGGGAACACCAAGTGAGGACCACCTTCGAGCTCCTTGACATACGCACATATTGTGACTCATGCTGTTCTCTTTCTCTCGCTGGTGCTAGTTTTG